TATTGTAGTCAGTTTATTTAAAATAAATACAGAGGAAGTCACCTTTCTCTCAGGGTTTTTTGTGAGAAATAAAGAAAACGACGGGCCCATTTCCTATTTGTCTGAGAGCTTGATGGAGCCCTCAGTCCTCAGCCCTCCTCTCCGACACATTTTCAACTAATAACCTGCCTCTTACCATTTCTGCCCCTCCTCTCTGTTTCTCCTGCACCCCCTCTCTCCCCAGTGGGCTTGCAGCACATTTCCTTGCCTCTGGAATTACAGGCCTGGTCTTGAATAGTCAGGTTGTTCCTCTTCAGTCCCTCCAGCTCTTCTGCTGGCTAAACCCTATTGAATGCCCAGAAACCACACATCCTGCGAGGTGCTGGTTTTTGTGGCAGGACAGGGGCGAGAGGCGCAGCGAGGGGTGGTCAGTAATGAGAGAGAAAACATATGAGCAGAGGATGGTGTTTTCTTTGCTTTTTAGGTACAGTACACATCATGAAGGAATGGCTGATGGTTCCCATGTGGAGCCTTTCTCTGAATTCACAGCCTTCTGATGTTGGCCCTCATATACTCTGCTAAACAATTTGAAGTTGGCCGTTGATCTTTCTGTGCTGGTGTCATCAATCCCTGACCCATTTACAGAGAGAAATGAGAAGGAATTAAACATATCAGTGGAGACAAATCTCTTCCCTTCCTGTTATGCACACTTTGCGTTTGACAGTGTTTTACTTTTCTTTCTCTTCTCATTAATTGTTGTGGGCTTATGCTCACCATGTTAAACTGTTTGTTGTGAGGAACTGTCCTCTGTGTGTCCTGATTCAGTTTACAGCAGTGGAAATAAAGTTGCTGTGGGTTATTGGTTACACTAATCTTTGACGTAATTGTGGATTTTATTTGATTATACTGGAGGTATAGGAACTGTTCTCTCTGAGCTCCGTACTTCTAGCTCAGTGTATTAAATGATAGGAATTGGTTATTTTCAAATAGGTGATGTAAGTGAGTCCTTGATGTTGCCGTGTTGGGAAATAGATAGGGTTATTATGTAGTTGAAAATCTGGGTTGTGCCAAATTGGAGTGTATCTACATGGTGCAAGTGATGATTTTGTTTGCTTTCCCCCAGGCTGTCAGAGTTGAGAAAATATATTGGATGAATGAGTGCGGCCTCACTAAAATGTCTGCCTGTATAGTCTTAGTCATCCTATTAACTTTTGATTTATATTAACTTGGATTTTTGCTAATTAGTGCCACTGATCAGTGCAGTGGTATATTCATTACCTGCAGTCAGGTGACTGTAGGAAGCCATCATCTACAGACAACCAGAAAGGGAAATGAATATAGAGATGAGCCCACTCATACACAGTGATAACACAGGACAAATGGTGAGTAAGGCACAAACCACACTAGGAGCTTGCTCATTATATTATTGCTGTCTAGGTCTGGGTATCACTACAGAATTTTCAATACTGATACATTGACTTTGATACTGGTTCCTAAATGATACTATTTTCAATACCAGTTTTATGAAATAAATTTTAACAAAATGTTTTTTACACATTTTGGTCCAGATTGTTAGTTTTATTTTTCAATTCCTTTGCATTTTTTGTCCATTCAAAGCAGTTTCATAACATAAAAAGTAAACCTATTTTCCAGAACCTAAAGTTCTGTTAACATTAACATCAATAAGTAAAAATGTAGAAAAGCATTTTTCCAGTACTCGCTGGCATTGAAGTTATTTGATCGATGGCATAAAAGTATCAAAGTTCGATATCCAGCACTATTGTTGTCTAATGCAGTTTGTGTTTTTAAAGCCCAGTGTACGAACTTTTCTATAATTAACATATTTTTGATGTATATCAAATATCTTTTCATCCACTTGGAGTCATAAAGGTGGATTAAACTATCCACAGGCCACTTTTTGCTTATATTTGTTTTGTTGAAAGATGAAACATTTGAGCATGTGAAGGGGAGTGTAAAATAGCCCCCAGATGTGTTTCCCTGACCTCTGCTGGGTTAATCTGTAGAATCCATTTAGGAGAGTCATCCATTAAAGTTGCATTAACGATCTCAACCCTTCTAAAGAGTCTGAAGGGACATGTAGTGGCTGGTGTTTATGGAGATGGAGTGTGTAGCAACAGAGGCCTGTGAGACTAGGACTTTCTCCCTAAGCTCCTGAGCCACTGAGCTGTTCGAACCTGGATGTAAGTGAGCACTCAGCATTAATAGCAGGAGCTACTTAGTCTCGTGCAGTGCATCCTTCATAGTTTGCTTGCTTTGTGTTGTGCTTTCTGTAATATCAGATTGACCTTCTGCTGAGGTCTTTGCCAAACCCTGAACTTTGCAAGTGAAGCGATCTCCTTGGCTTTTAATGATAGGATGCAGGTTTCAGTGAATTAAAGTTCAAAGGAAGTTGAATGGACACATACTCAATTCACATAACTACACTATGCTGTAAAAAGTATGACTATGCTTGTAGCCAGTAATTGTTCTGCAGTGTATGTGGACAAAAAGGAGCATTTGTCACATCAAATTAAGATGTTGCTCATGTGCTTTTTGCGTAACCTAACAAGTGTATTCCTCTTTTCTTGTGGTTGTGTATTGTTTAGGTGGTCCAGCTATGTCAATGACATGTCAACCAGAGCTACTGTATGTACATGCATCTCCTCTTCCCGCCTATACTTTCCTCTTGTGCAACGGTGCCACAGTGTCCCGACTGTGGGAGCACGTTGTCAACTCAAGCTGGCAATGGCTTCAGCTGGCTCCAGGCCATGGAATCCCTGCCCAGCCCTGGTGTCTGCACGTTTCTGTGTGGGAAGACAGACAAAAGGAAAGGCCTTATATGTAGCCTTAAATAGGGGTGTGCATAGTGTGAAGGAAGACAGATGTATAAACACATTAAGTAAATAGACAGCTGGACAGGGAGACAAACAGATGGTATGCAACGCGGCTATAGCCAGCTCTGCCATCAGCAGATGGACGGACAATAGAGGCAGGTAGACAGACAGGTTGACTCTGTGGTCAGTCATAGGCAGAGCTTCAAACCACCTTGTGTTAAATGACACTTTATGTATTCTGAAATTTTATAGATGACTAGATGCTCAGTTAAAAACAAACAAGAAACAGACAGCGCAATGGTAAAAAGAACCACTGGTTTCTACACAGTACATTTTATGCACCTCTATATTAATGAATTTCGCTGGAGGTCTTGTAAATGTACTATTAGTAGAGTCACCAGAAAACAAACTAACTAACATACAGTAGAGACAATGAAAGACATAAATAAGTAGCAGCATTGAAAGGGTAGACCTCAGCAGCTGGGGGTGCTGTCAGAGGCCGCTGACAAAATCTGAGACTGAACTGTCCAGTGTGCTGTGGAGGGAGACCGGCTGAGAGCAGAGGTCAGAAGATACACAGGGCAGTGACAGTGAACCTATAGGCAACAGAGCTGTCAGACTGAAGCTTCATCTCCCCCTCTCCAAATGTCTCAGCAGTCTGGTGTGCATACCTGCAGTGTAGCTCTACACAGGAGCCCCTCCACCTGGGTGTGTGTGTTGAGAGTGCATGCAGGTGTGTGGGTGAGGAGCAGCATTGTGCAACTATTCATTTATATGCTCTGTCTGTTTCTTTTCTCTCCCTTCCACCTTCTTGGCCTACGAGGAGAGAATATATCTAGTGTCTTAGAAACACCCCCCATCAAAGGCTTATCACCGCAGGCCACATAGCTGCTCTGCCATTCTTTAAGTTCAGCTTTCACAGTTTCATTCAAGTCCCAGCCAGCATGCTTCAGTTTCCATTTGCTTACAGTTGGGAAAAGTAAATATTCATATAGATTAAAGCTTGCGCGCTTCCGGTCCAGGTGTTTGTCATGCAGCACCCTTGTTATTGATATTCATCTCTTCAGCTGTCCGACCGCACAATTTTCATATTATTGTTACCCCAAACAAACATCCCAACTGTAAGAGCTGTAGGCTTGCCCAACCAAGTCTGTTGTCTCAGGTTAGCTTCTCTGAGAATGAAGCTGACTGGCTGCCTTGACAAATGAGCTTTAGCCCTATTATCTCTTCCATCACTAATATCCCCAAACAAAAGCACAAAGGCAGGCCAGATGCAAGGCAAGGTGTCGTTTTTCACTTGGAAAAACAGAAAAAAGTTGGTGCAGGTACTGTATGTCCAGAGTAGTTTAATAAAGTCCAGTGAAGGGGCTGGGCTTAAAATGAAAAGAAGCTGAAGGCTTTTGCCTGAACCGGACTCCTACACTTGTCTGCTTAGGGCAGCAGACACAGCAGCTGGCTATGTTCTAGAGATCAACGATAAAAGTGGGTGAGGTCTGGCCAAAACACTGAAGGAGATCAGTGTATTACTCACAGGTTCTCTTTTCTCTGAGCCACACAGATGTAACCGCTTCCTGTCCGTGTCATTACCCGTCCACATTCTTATTGCCTTCAGCATGAAGGATTACAGCGAAGCAGAGTCCATTTTGTCCCTCATCCTGTTAGAAGTCCACATCTGAAAATCTAATTTGTGAGTATCAAATCTTCACCCCACTGTAAGCTTGAAAAGTCTCCTTGAATGGTATGCAGCTTGCTGCTTTGCAGAGGACAACAGCTGTAGATTCACAGCACTTACACAAGGATTCCAGTGGTGGCCCAGAGTTATGCAGGGTGTCCACGGGGTTTTAAAAAGTATTAAAAAGTGATTCATCAAAATCGCGTGTTTAATTTGGTTTAGAGGTATTATTTTTTTAAAATAGGTATTATTTTTTCAGACTATGGTGTCCTATTCTGATTGAAATTTTATCTGCTAAAGTTTGCGCTAGTTCGTTTAAATGTGGGCTTTAGCATATCGGGGCACATAATCAAAGATCCTCGTCTAGTCTCAACTTTGTGTTTGATGCCGACGTCATATTCAGTGGTCGTTCGACATCTCAAACACTTTGCATGCTCAGCTCAACTGGATAGCCAACTGGCTAGCTTACGTTGTTGACTAGTTTGGGCGTATCTTCAACGTCCAGACAGCTACGTCTGACCTCCGGGTGACTATGGGCGCCACACCAACACTGCGTGCGGAGGCTCTGTGGTGTCTAAACACTGCAGTTAAACACCACTCATTGAACTCCAACGAAGGAATTGCGGAGCTGTTTAAAGAAATGTTTCCCGACTCTGACATCGCCAAGTCATTCACGTGTGGTAAAGACAAAACCGGGTACATAATCAGATTTGGATTAGCATCGTTCTTCAAAAAACAGCTTGTCGATGGCATCAACAAGGCTGGGCCATTTGTGTTGATGTTTGATGAGAGCCTCAATCAGGCGTCAAAGAAAAAACAGCTTGACATCCATATTCGATACTGGGAGGATGGCCGTGTCCAGTCCAGATACTTTGGATCTCAGTTTTTGGGACATGGAAGGACCGATGATTTGTTGCATCACATCAAGGTAAGTTAATATTCTTGTTTTTGCTATATAGGCCTACCTGTGGTCACTCAGGAATTATTTACTTTCAAGAATGATTTATTCATAAAGATTTTATTTATTATAGGACAATGTTTGGCAAACTTATTGTTAGCTACACAAAAGGATTAAATTGGCCAAAGGCCTGCAGTCACTTGAATGAAAGCTGTAGGCCTATCTGCTTTTATTAATCTGTGGGGTATAGCTCCAAAGTACAAGGAAAAAAACGTTTTTAGTGTTTTGTCAAGTTCAATAACCTTATAGAAATGTAATATTTGGCTCAAGTTTTGCTGTTGGAAAAAACACAAAATAATTTCATTGCTAAAATACCAACTAATGCTTGAAATCAAATGTGTATGCAGTAATGCTTCTCCTTAGCCCCAAGTGCCAAGCTTTGTGAATGATGAGATCTATTTTACTGTATCTGAATGATTATTTTTAACAGACTTTCTCCGTTGTTGATTCACAGGAATGTGTTACACAACTGAATATGAGGGAACTACTATCAGTTGGCATGGATGGCTGCAGCTGATCAAAACAGAACTAAAGTATGAAAAGAACTTGGTCTCCCCTATGAGTGTAGACACAGGCCTGGGTGCTGAATCTGCCATCAAAGTAATTTTGATTTACTATTTGTTTTTTTTCCCCAGAGATGCACATGTGTTTTGGGTTGCATGCACAATGTATCAGGATGTATGTTGTAAAATTAAGTTTTATAGTAGTACTACTACTGATACTACTATGCTTAGGCTGCTACTACTACCAATAGTAATAATAATAAGAAGAAGAATAAAAAGAAATAGGGATAAAAAAAAGTAAAACGGATTATTTTCCAAAGCATTTGCAGTGAACATTCATTAATGTTCCTCATTTGTTAGGACCTTCAGAGCAAACCAGGATGCAAGGTTGGTGAGCTTTCTGTGCTCACCTTCAGGCAAGAATGTTTGCAGGGCCTGGTTAAGGTGGTTATGAAGCTACAGGAGAAAAGCCCCCTGAAATTCCCAGTGGTCAGGCAGATTGCTGATTGGTGCATCAGACAGATGAAGAGCATAGTGCAAACATTCCTCCAAGGCAAGCAGCTGGCAGGTGGCATCCCAGCT